TGACACTGCAAGCCTGTTGTACGTGGCCCCCCAGCCGGTGGTTGAAGCATCCAGTATGTCTGAAGACCTGTTTTAGGGGCACTCCTGCCCGGAGAAACGCAAAGTCTGACCACGGTGTGTAGATTGGTCTCTCTAAGCGAGATCCCAATTCGTCGGTCATCCGACGTGACGTCGAGAGTGACCGACTGAAAGGGAAACACATTTTTATGGTAAAAATAAATTAATTATTTATTTTAATAATTATTAATGAGTATATTATGGATATTCAAAATAATAACCATAATAATAATAATAATAATAATAATAACCATAATAATAATAATAATAATAATAATAACAATAATAATAAATTAGTTGTATTATCATTTAATATCCACAGTAACAGAACTTTCATTTTTATCTGTGCATGTCTAATCAAAGATAATTTTAGGAGATTTTAGATACAGACGGTTACAAAGTCAAGCTACTGAAGAAACACATTTTTGCAGTGAGGAGGACACTCAAACATTTCATAAATGTTAAAACCAAGGTCATCCTGCTCTTGTTTTATTGTTAAAGACATGAATGAGAATTAATGAGTTTGCCAAAGTACTGCTCAAAATTTCAGTAAAATATACTGCAAAAGTGCATCTTAAGTGTTTCCAGAAGAACAAATTGAGGAAAAGACCATGCATGTCCTCAATATATTTAGATCATGCTGATTACATCTATGCTACACAATTCATTTAAATTTTAAACTGTGTAATTTAAAAAATTATATACATCAGTGATAAAGGCATTGCATTATAAATATACTTTATTTTAATGAAAATTAAAAATAATAAGAAGTCAGATAAACCATATATTGCCGTAGTCTTGTGTTTATTAGTCACGTTGAATCAATGAAAGCAGTTGAATCTTCTGTTTATTCAGCTGCAGCGATAGGCATTTTCTGGGTTTCTTCTGCGAGGCGTATTTGGAGTTTCAGCACGAGAGCGCCCTCTGGCCTTTGGATGGAGATTTACTGCTGATCACAGAACCGTGCTTCACTGAAAGATATGCATGACAATCGCAGCTTCTGTCGAATCGCGATCTCGATTCCATTTCGATTTATCGTGCAGCCTTACATGCAAACAACATTAAAACCACATGACCTCATCATCACATTGCATCTGCTAGCATCTCAGAAATAAAAGCCATTTTGCATTTTTAATACAATTTTGTGTAAAAATGTCTTAGAATTTGGCCATTCAATCAAATAATGAGTCAAGAAAGAGATATATTATTATTATTTCTGGATTGTATATCACACTGGAAGATCAAGTCAACCGCACTTCATTGTGGGATGTCATATTCCACACCGTAAACTCTGGTTTATTAGACAAACGTAGCAGGTTATGCAGGTATTTTATGTGAATATACCTGTACTGTATATTGCATAAACAGCAAGAGCGATAAGGTAGTAAGCTATTACGAACACAGCCAATGTCACGGCATGGTACCGGCCACATTAGCACCCACTGACTGCACAACTACCCGAGGTCTGTATACGTTCATCGCTCTAAAACCATGTTAAGAGATGATGGAGGAAAATGAACTGAGGTTAAGAGTCTCATGCCAAACCATTTTAGCAGATAAAGAGACACAGATAGCCCCTCTTTTAAATAAGTGCTGCCTGGCCCATTTGTCATATCCAGGCTGGACCAGGACATCGATGGCATAAACATTTTTTTAAAGGAATTTGCTTCCTGTTTGAGGGGCTTCCATTAATCACAGACATATTCCAACGCGCTTCCTCCGCAAGACTCCGTATCATCAATAATCTCGCCAACAGAGTATGCATCCAAGTTTGGAACACAGCTCTCAGTTTTGGAAATGACTGATGATAGAACAAAGGTGAAAAATTAATAAGCACAATCGAACAGGAGGAGACCAAAGGGAAAAATTGTGCTGCTTGCTGACACATCAAAACTTTCTTAGTATGCAAATGACTGAAACACAAGATTCTGCACTCATGTGAACTC